CCCGCTGTCCGTGCCGGTCTCTCCGGCTCCCGGTGCAGTGTCGGGGTCCCGCTGCAGTATCGGGGGGCCGGTCCCGGTGCCGGTGGTGTCCCGGTGGGGGGGTCCCGGTGCTCGTGCCGGTCTCTCCGGGTCCGGGGGGGTCCCAGTGCAGTATCGGAGTCCCGGTGCAGTACTGGGGGTGGTCCCCGTGTCCGTGTCGGTCTCTCCGGGTCCGGGGGTCCCGGTGTCCGTGCCGGTCTCTCCAGGTCCCGGTGCAGTGTCGGGGTGCCGGTGCGGTATCGGGGGGTCGGTCCCGGTGCTGGTGCTGTCCCAGTGGAGGGGTCCCGGTGTCCGTGCCGGTCTCTCCGGTGCGCGGGGCGGGGCCGGGGCGGGGCCGTTCCCGCCGGGCGGGGCCGTTCTCGCCGCTCGCCCCGACCGCGGCCCCGGCCCCGGTACCGGCCCCGCCCGCCGGGCCCAGCCCCACCAGCACCAGCACCACCGGGACTACTCCGGCACCGGGACCCCCCCGAGACCCCCCGGCATCACCTGCATCCCCGGGCGCAGGGCCCGGAGCCCCCCAGGTACCGGCACCGGCACGGGGAGGCCGCGGGGCGGGAGGATGCGCCGGGATTGGGGGGGCCGGGGGTGGGAGGGGGGGGCAGGACTGGGGATGCACCGGGATGGAGGGGTGAGGAAAGGAACGGGGATACAGCGGGTGATGGCGCGTATCCCCCCGCGCCCTCCCCGCAGGTCCCCCCACCGGGCCCGGGGGGGCCGCGCCCTCCCCTCCCCCCGCCCCGGGCGCGGGGTCCCCGCGGGGTTTGGGGGGGTCTTGAGGGGTGGGAGGGGTGAGGGGACACGAGCGGCCTCTTGCACACGCGGGTGCCCCCCCCCCCCTCACGGGGGTGATGCTCTTGCACACGCGTGCCCCCCCCCCCCGCCCGCAGACGTGCCCGCACCCCCGTGCACGCGCGCGTGACCTCTTGCACGCGCGTGTGCAAGGCCGGCAGGTGCGTCTGTGTGTCCGTGTGCGCGTCCCCGTGTCCCTGTGCCCCCCCCCCCAATCCTGCGCCCGCCCCCCGCCCCCCGCGCGCCCCCGCGCCCCCGCCGGCCCCCCCCCTCGGCCCCGCCCTTCCCCCCCCTCCAGGGCCCCCCCCCCATCACACGCGTGTGCCCCCCGCACCCCGTCACGCACGGCCCCCCACCCCCGCCCCCTGCCCGCTGTCGCGACAGGGCGCCATGTCCCGACATGTGCTGCCGGCGGGGGCGCTCTCACTCCCCCGCTCCCCTCCTCCAGCCCTGCGCTGTCGCGACATGGGGTCGGCGCTGTCGCATGTCGCGACAGACACTCCCTCCCCTCCCCAACTCTTTTATCCAACGCCCCCCCGGGGTCGCTGGTTCCCCGTTTCTGCCTCAGTTTCCCCGGGGGGGGGAGGAAGGCTCCATCCCTTACCGGGATGACGTCACCGCGTGACGTGATGTCACCACAGGGGGACACACGCGACACCTGGAGGGGCGGGTCGTGCCCCCCCCCCCGGGTCCCTCGGGGTGACGTTAAGCCCCTCCCACACCCCCCTCCCCGGTGACTCACCCCCCCCAATTTTATGATGACATCATCGCTGGCCCCGCTGTTGCCATGGTAACTGCCCCCCCCCTCCCCAAATAGGAGCCGGATCAGTCCCCCCGGGACACCTCGGCCCCTGAGCCCCCCTGAGCCCCCTGCCCTACCTCAGTTTCCCCTGGCACGTTTGCACGTGGCCTTTACACACCCGTGGGCACCTGGTGGGGGGGCTCTGCCCCCTGGCCCCACGTGGGGGATGAGGAGGGGGCAAGTGTGCAAGGGGGGGTGGGTCACACATGTGTAAAGGTGGTGCACACATGGGGGCTGCAGACGTGGCTGGCAGGGGGTGTACATGTGTAAAGGGGCCCACACGTGTGTAAAGGGGCCCACACATATGTAAAGGGTCTCACACAT